GAAAGAGAGAGAGTGAGTGAGCAAGCAAGCGCATGAAGCCATGAGCAATAGCTTTGTGATTAGGACATTAATTCGGGCTCTGGAGATTCCAGGTTCAAGCGTCTGGTCTGTGCTTCTCACAACATCCCAGCTAATGGACCTAACTGTTCAGCTATTGGCTGTTTTATGATTAGTTCTCTTAATCTCTCCTATGGGAAATGTTCCCTCTGAATCTGTAATTAGTAAAATATTAAGTTGAGTTGGAATTTAAATCTGGCCACATCTCAGGTAAATACACTGACTATTGGAATACAGAGGCAACTTCTGATTTTTTGGTCCAGTGAATGTTTTAATTATTTATTCCACAAAGTGGAAGGTAAAGGATAGAGATACGTAGTGTTTTCAACTGGGTCTAGTTTTAAGTCCCTGTTCAGAATCAAGGTCTAAAACCAGGTTTGGGGTTATTTCTAATTTTGACCAAATTCTGTCTTGAACCTTTATGTAAATGTTATCAGATTGATCTGTTTCAAAGAAACATTTTGGTTTGGACAAATTAACTTTTTTTAGTTAAAAATGTCCAATCAGTTTAATTTTTGAATACATTTGAACCTATTTTCAAAGAAATCTTATCTGATATATAGTTCCAAATGAAATAACATTAACTAAGTCATACTTAGAGTTTGGACAACTGAAATCCAAATTAACCTCATTAATTCTATTCTAAGTTCTTTTTCTGTCCCATTACGTTAATCCCCACATTCTTTAAGCATTAAATGGCATGATTAGCTTGTCTTGCATATATGTGTGTGTGTTTCTTTCTCACTCTTTTTCTTTAGGGGAAAATTATATGAGTATTTGTATTTATTTATGTATTATATATTATATATACACTGTACTATGCACCTATATTAGTAAAGGCAAAGCCAAATTTTGCCTTGCCCTAAAAGCAGAAGATAATGATGTTTGTGGTGATCACATTTTGTGGGAATATATATTACCATCTTGAATCAATTTCTTGGAGTCTTGTCTCCTACAGAGATCAATTTTATCCCTGTGGAGCTGAGCTTCATTGTATCAAAGGACCACAGCTTTTCACCTTTGTCTTTGTCCTTTAAGCAATTTTTTAGGTATTCTGGGTTTAGATCATTGAGTGTCTTTAAGATAAGGACTGAGAAATTGAACTTGCAATGATATTCTATGGGAAGCTAGTGTAGAAAACAGAAGATAGGTCTGATGAGCTCAAAATAGGCCATTTTGCCAAGGAAATATGCTACCACATTCTGTACCAGTTGGAGTATCTTGAGAGACAGTGGTAACATGTTCAGATAGTGAAGACAGTGGCAGCCTGTACATGTGCTTAGAGGTGGAGGCATTTTAATTAGAGTGGTTCCTGGGCAGCCACTCTAACTAAAAGGCTACAGCACCACATGTATTAAGCCCCCATGTGTTTGGAAATGACTGTGGGATACTTTATCTAAACCTCATTCGATGAGGTTTAGTTAAAGCACCCCACAGCCATCTTAAAACTCGTAGGGACTTAAAGCATGTGACACTGCAGCAGTTCATCACACTTGATTAATCGAATCTGCTCTGACACGTTCTAATTAGAATGTGAAGGAGCATGTGTATAGGCACCCCATATGAATAGAAAATGAATGCCTTACAATTTCCAGTAAAACAAAAAATAATAAGCTTTGTTCTTCTTTATACAGACCTTTCCATGAAGATCAGTTTTCCAAAATGAATTGTTTGTTTAATCAACTGCAGAAAGAATGTGGTAACATTCTGTGATACACCAAAACCGTGAGATAGCTGTAGTATTAACATTTCCTCTGGAAAATATAAAGGAAGGGAAGGCAGAAAAAGCAGACATGTTACTTAAACAGCTAACAAATTATGTACGTCTTTATTTTTAGCAATCTTACGATGTACTTCTGTTACTTCTGATGCTGATCCTGTTAGTTCAGGCTTTTCTTACCACTGGCACTATTATACAGTGTGTAAATTACAAAACAAAAATGAAATTGCATGACTCATCTTGGACTATTCCACAGATTAAAAAAACAGAGTACAGAACAGCGGAGGTAAGTGTCTCATATGGTACTACATATATACCTGATACGTGTAGAGTTTTTACTCCCATTTTTACATTAAAATTACCCTCTAAAATTGTAATGGCTGCATTTGTTTCTGCTTCTCCTGAATTTTACTATGAAGGACATATTGTCTGATTGTAATATATAGGATCACATGATCATTGGACATTAGAGCTGGAAGGTACCTCATGAGGTCGTCTAGTTCAGCACCTGCCAAAGGCCGGAGTATCTCTGACTAAACCATCTCAGCCAAGTGTCTGCCTAAGTTGCTCTTGAAAATTTTGAGTGATTGAGATTCTACAATTTCTCTAGGTAGCCTGTTCCAGTTCATGACCACCATCATAGTCAGAAAGGTTAGTCTCCAACCCAAATATCCTCTGCTGCAGCTTGAGACTATTCCTCCTAGTCCTGTGTCCTACAGCCATAGAGAAAAGCCTGTCTGAATCCTCTCTGTAATCGCCCTTCAGGTATTTGAAGACTGTTATCCAATTTCTTCTCAGTCTTCTCTTCTCCAGGCTAAATAATCTGAGCTTTTTCAGCCTTTTCTCATAAGTCTTGCCTCCGAGGCCCCTAATCATTTTAGTTGCTCTGCACTGGACTCTTTCCAAACAGTTCATATTCTTTTTGAAGTGTAGGGCCCAAAATTGGACACTATCTCTGGTGAAGCCTCCTCGACAGTGCTGAATAGGGTGGAAGAATCACTTCCCTTGATTTGCAAGTGGAACTCCCAGGATGCAGTTGGCTTTTTTTGGCAGCAAGAGCACACTGTTGGCTTATGGTCTACTGTAACCCCTGGGTCCTTCTCTGCTAGCCAATCATTTCCCACTATGTATTTTGTGCATGGAATTGTTCTGTCCCAAGTATAGGATGTTGCACTTGTCCGTGTTGAATCTCATCTGGTTGGTTGTGGACCATTTTTCTAGTCTATCCAGGTTATTCTTGATCCTAGAATACCTACAACTCTACTTAACATGGTGTTGCTTAAAAATTTGCTAAACATGGACTCAATTCTATCATCCAAATCATTAATGAAGATACTGGGCCCAGGACAGACTCTTGGGGAACCCCATTTGATACCTCAAATTTGGGTCTATTTGGGTCCATGAGCAAGAGTTTAGTGTTCCTAGTATTTAATGTTTTGCAAGAATGTAAATATGGATGTTCTTAACTGAGAGATGCTATTGTATGCCCAAGGAAGCTGTTCTCTAAGAGACTAAGAAGCAACCGTCAGCCAATTTCATTCAAGTAAAAGTCCAGTTTTGTTAAAATGGCAAGTGGCTACACAAACATACATTTTAGGTGTTTAGAATATGGCAAACTATGACATGCCCAAGATGATGGGACACCAAATTCATCCTATAAGATATGGTAGTACCTAAGTTCTGGCTACTTGTTTTCTTGATGAAAAAGGATTTAACCAGGTATTTGTTAGAGATCCTAGTTGTAGCATGTTGTGTTATATTGTAGAACATACATAATACTTCACCAGAACTTTGCTTTCAGGTATATGAAAACTCTGAAGGAATATACATAGTAGGTAACCTTTCCCTTCAAGATTAGGAGGGCCTAAGGGTGAGCCAACTCCTTTTCCAAAGCTTTACAGTATATCAAGACTTAGTAAAAGCAAGAGTGAATGAATACATTTATAAGAATTTGGTACAAATAAAACAAACAATGAAAATGGGTCGTGTGCGTGTGTGTGTATATGTATATATCTGTATATACCCTCAAACTAATGAGATCCAAGCACCTGCTTTGAACACCTTCAAGACACATTTGGATGTTTATCTTGCTGGGATCCTATGATCCCTGCTGACTTCCTGCCCCTGGGGCAGGGGGCTGGACTCGATCTTCTGAGGTCCCTTCCAGCCCTAATGTCTATGAAATCTATGAAATGATAAAGATGATTTTACTATTACTCAAACTTACGGGTTCCCACTGAAGGCTCTATGTATTGAAAGAACATTGTGGCATTCTCTGAAGGATAGGCAATCCAGTAGAACAGTTACTTTAAAGTTGAGTTACCTTTAAGAAATCTTTTATATGTGTTACAGATTTCCTCCAGATACTAGCTAGAGAAGACAGCACTGAAGGGGTCTTTGATACTTCTCTGTGTAAAGATTTTTTTAAAGAAAGCCATAAAATAAAGAAATAACAGTATGTTAAATGGATTACAGATGTTACACAATGTCCTGATATTTTTAGAATGTCAAATTATTTAATGATTTATTTAACTTTAAAAATGTTGTAAATTATAGCTGTCAGAGTTAGTATTCCTAGATTTCCTGAAATATAAATTTGAACCCCTGAAAGGCTGAGTAAGTTTCATCATTATTTCAACATAGGTAAACTTAGCATCAGAGTGCTCTTTTATTGTTATTATTTGTATTAGGACAGTATTTAGAGACCTAAGATATACTGGTAACCCCAGTGTACTTGGCATCAAAGCAGCAAGAGCTTTGTTGGTAGTGCTTTTCCTTGAGGTTCAGGAAAAACCTTTAAGAAATCCTAGTTTGTGTTTGGATATAAGGATACAATGTTATGAGTAAAAAAAAAAAAAAATCTTATTATAAAAAATGCCATGCACCCACTCCCTATGCCCTAAAAGTGACTGCATTCTATCATGCAATAGGTAAATGACTTGTGAAGGGTTTTAGAACTCTTCAGAATAAAAATCCAATAAATAAATGTGAAATATTATTAAACAGTCAACACATTATGGTATATTTAATAAATCAGCCCACTGGATATTTTTACTTTATTTTAATATTTAACTAAAATAGTGTTTGAATCTGTTAATCTTTAGGTCTCCAATAATACCGTGAAGGATTTTGACAAAGACAAAGCCTGGAAAGCTGTTGTAGTGCAGATGGCTCAATAACTTGGATTCCACGAATGCTGCCAAACAATACAATAATTTGACTTTTGGACTCAAGACTTTTAAACTCTGCAGTTTGTAAACAACGTGATAGCTAAAGATGTAGAGGCCAAGGAATAACAGTTTATTTACAAGAAAATACTGTAGCCTTCTAATAAAGTTGAAATATATAGATATTTCCTAATGTTTTGTGTAAGGATGTTATTAGTTTATTGTTAGCGTCTTTGCTTTAAAGATCCTTTTGGAAAGAAGATCATTAATCATATAGGGTTATACATTTATGAATTTTAAATAAATATGGCAACATGCAGTAGGTCTCGTTTGTTTGCAAGATATTATAACTGCAGTTATGCAGTTAATATAACAAATGCTTTTGAAAAGTTATGAGTACAGGTCATAATTGATATTTTGCTTATACTTCACTTTTGTAGGAGTTGTAAAGTTGTTTTGCATCTCATTACTTTTATATAAATAAAAGTCTTTATCACAAGAGTAGTCTAGACATGGATTGAAGTCCAATTTGGACAGGTGAAAACTTACGGAACTGTTGTTAGAGGTAACTGTAATGAACTGATTCACTGACTGTGAAAAAGAAATAATGAGCCCCTAGTTTCTTGAGGACTTGGCAAGGCTGGTAAAATGTAAGTGTCCAGACAAGTGTCTATATGCTTTTTTTTATAACTTAATCAGAATTTAAAAAGAGAAATAACTTTAGGTGGAATTACTGCAGATCTGTCTGCCTTGTTTTATCTGTGACGGTGATTTCATTTCTTTATATATTTCATTCTCAAAAATATTTAGGAAAATACTTATATAAGATATTTGTGGTGAAGCAATGAATTTATCCCTTAGAGTCTACATTTGGACAGACTGGTAATAGCATAAGTGTTTCCATAAAATCAGAAGATCTTTTGGTTTAAGACCAGAAAGCTCTAACCAGATGTTTTTCCTTTGCAGGCTCTCAACTTGGTTTTCATTTCTTCCTTTTGCCTGAAGTAGACCAAAATGATCGATTGCTGTTCAGGACATAGTGCAAAATTTATTTTTTAATCTTGCCATAAGCTTTTTCAGGTAAAAAGGTGTAAACTGAGGGTTACACCTATATAAGATGGATAGGGATAGTGCAGTCCTACTGCAGCTACAGAGGGGCTTTTTCTTTTCAGCTTTTAGGGATTCTGCATGTATTTATGTATTTAAATCATAGCTTTAGAAAAACAACTTCTAGAAGCAATTATACAATAGGAGGAAAACCCCCTTCCCATTCTAAGATTTGGTTGTGATTGGATTTGGTGGTCACGGCCCAGCTGATCAATATGTGCCAGAAGCTTCTCGAGAGTTTGGACCCATACCGAAAACTGTTCATTCCTTTGACGCTGACCTCAATCTTTAACACTCCAGTCCTTCACCAGAGATTCCTGTTGTCTCAGGAGGTTCTGCTATATACTAACTTTCAATGGAGCAACATAAAGCTCTCTCTCTCAATAATATTTTAACCAGCACACGGAGAAAGTTCACTTTGAATTAATGTTCAAGCAGAATGCACAACACTGATTTGTGTGGGCCTACTTGGAAATAGAGTTCTCTTTAAAGAAATAAAAGCTTTTGGAACAGATTTTTAAATCACGTGCACAGAATGATGACTGAATGCATGCTGGTGTTGATACTATGTAGGTGTATGTAGCTTCACTAATCTGTGTGTATCATGGTCCTATGTATTTTGAGTGCATTTTAACTGTCTTGTATGTAGTGAGCTACTTACCAATTGTAAAACTAAATCCACATCTCCAAGAAGTATTTTTCTTGTCCTGTTATGATTGATTTGGATTTGACAACAGTTCAGATGTGGAAAATGGACAGTTTACGATGTTTCTGGCTTACAAAGAGAATAGAAGGAATCGTTATTACCTCTCCAGGACCTGTCTTACACATAGTCCAAACTATGAAGGTGCTGCATGCTCCTCAGCTCCATTGCCTCTTGCATTAATGTGTGGTGCTCCGCAACAAATGATACCAGACGAGGCACCAGGTGTTAAGGCAGTGTCAGGGGAAGCCACGCGTACAGTTCAGTGTGGCAGATTTGCCCTTGTCCTACAGGCCTCCTAAGCAGGGGTCACCTCATCTACACAGGTGACCTGGAGAGTGATTGAAACACCCCGCGGAGCCCCCAGGAAAAGCTCTGGCAGATCCGGCAGCCGGTGCAACGAAAGGAGGAGTCGTGGTAGGTGAGCTTCGCTGAGGAGCCCGCCGTGCCTGCGCGGAAGCGTCAGCAGGGCCAGGCGCCTACTTGTTTCTCTCTCCTTTAATGGATGGGCGCGGGGGCTTGCATTTGGGAAACCCTCAAATGCAGCCACGAGGCCTGGGGACTCCATCTCTGTGCTCAGACACGGGCTGCCCCCTCCCCGGCTGCCAGCGCCGCCAGGAGGACGAAGCAGCATTTGCTAAGAGCCCGG